AGGAGCTCATAGTGACGTCTTTTTCTAATATGTCAAGTATATATTATAAAATTATAATGACTACCATCGGGTACCTCCGCTAGTCAAGATAATAATTCAATGTTTGTTGTCGTAAATGATTTTCATATATTTGTTGATGATAAGCTTTGGAATGTGCTCCAGTTGTTGTCACTATTATAATCAAAGTATAAAGGAAATTCATAGAATATAGTATCGTAAAGTGAACGACATAAAGTATAGAATCGAATATTTGGAATTGATTGAAATATTGAACAATACACCATATTTGTTGTTCTTCATCATCATTGCTCAATTGTTCATGAAAAACTTCTCGAATAACACTATTATCCATTTTAAATTAGAAGACCCCTGAGTATATTTTGAATAACTCCTCATAGAAACATGATAGAGACCTGCGGTTTTCACCGTGAGAAGGAGCATATGAAGACACATCAAATCATGCATCAGAGACTTTTCTAAGAAGCTTTTTTCAGGGTTTACAAGGATGTCGGTGTCGTAAAAACTAGCTCTACACCTACCCACACCCACACCCACACCCACACCCCGCACACCCACACCCACACCCCGCACACCCACACCCACACCCCACACCGACACCCCACACTGACACCCTTGTGATGCGGAAATATTAAGTTGAACGAAATCTAATGATTTCGAGATAATAAAAATAGTTGAAAAATTTAATATGGTGTTGAGAATGCCGTATCTCGAAACCAAATGGATAGGAAAATCAAGTCTTTCGAAGAAAACCAGTGTGATATTTGTAGTAGGGTGAAAATCCAAACTGGCGAATGATTTTTTATCGTCTACTATGCAGCAAACAATTACTACAGATTGATACATACACAATGGTTTTGGGTATATTTCCCTATTACTGAGAGCTGTTCGTTGTTTAGCAAAACAATAAAGTCATCTTTCATATTTGACTACCTTCGATTTGTTTCTTTTAGTGACTTTTCCATTCTTTGGAGATACTTCAACTACTTTGACGTACTTTGCGATACTTCAGACGTACTTGAGATTACTTATTGATACTTTTAAAGATACATCAAGCGATTTTATAGTAATTTATATCTATTTGGAAGTACTTCTCCATATTTTAGATGCTTCCTGTGCTGCTTCGATGTACTCTAATCAACTTGAAGCTATTTGAAATAACTTTTATACTTGTAGGTACTGCTCGACTTCAAGTACACCGTTTCCCCTCTGGAAGTGTGTACTAAATGAATTCTAAGTTTAAGTGAAACTCAACAGTATATGTCAAAATTTGTCAAGAGTAAAGATGATGTGCATGTAGCTGTCTGCATGATTGAATAAATATAATATATAGCAGACTAATATGGCAGCTGAATCGATGAAACGAAAAATAAGATTATATTTGCCTCTTCATCTGTTTCCTATTTTAGAGACATTATCATTAGGAGAAAGTGAATTGTGCATTAAAGATGTATCTGGCACTACGAATACGTTCTTACAGTGACAACTGTTAAATGAATCAAATGAATTTGTAGAACAGTCATTCTAAATGCGAACATCTTCGAAATGCTAAAATTTCACACTGCCCATGTCACTCGTATGGTGTAGATGAGAAGAAGATCAACACCCACACCCTGTTTTTGGCAAATATATGCGAATTCCACAAAAATCGAATATATTCTCATTTTTTCTTATCTAGCACACCAGTATATCTTTACAATAGCGTGAAGAATATTCGGAAGAGACACAGAAGTAGTCGCCAGAATTGAAAAGACTGATTCGTTCCTATTCCAGCTATCAGCAATAAATATTAGATCAAAATAAGTTACTTGCTTGCATAAGGTCAAAAATGACTCTCAAACGTGTTTCAGCCGACACGCGCACACATATATTATTTACCAATTGCAGTCTTTAGTCTTTCTATCTAAGAAATAAGCATTCACACAACTCTCAACGAATTATCATCAATGTATGCATCGATATTGGTACCAGCGTTGCGAATAAATGTCATCGTGTAGTCAATACTTCGTGTACCGGATGGAATGCTGTAAAGATTGATATTATAGCACCAATTTGCATGGAGCGTACAATCGAGAGGTCCTGCAGTTTGTGTACCTAATATAGTGTTGGTAGCCGAGCGAAATGTAATTGTTACTTGAGCATCATCGTATGCAAGCCAATAATCGTACCAAGTTTGATAATAAAATGATACTTCAGCACTCAGTGTTCCGGCATCAATTTGTGCCGTAGAAAAGTTTTGAGGTCCATTAATTAAATTTACATTCTGAAACAGGATTGATGGAGTCCCACCCGATCCATAACCACCTGCAAAACAAGCAGTTCCCGTGCGTTGATTGTAGCCACTATTGAGGAGACCACCCGTGTCTTGAAGTACAGAAGACGAGCCAGTTTGTGTCCAATCACTTAGGACAGATAATTCAGCGCCGGGATTCATGAGAAGATTTGGTGGAACCATCGTTGTAGTAGCTATATTACATGAAATAATTAAAATTTATGTATGAAAATGAAATCAATCCTGACTTGTAGTCGTTGTTGTTGTCGTTGTTGTACCTAGAATAGATGATTATTACGATATCAATAGACTTAAAATTCACAAATCAATCATATATTCGTTGGAGATTATAATGGTCAATATTATAGATGGAAACAGCGCCGGTCTGTCTGGTTAAATTTAAGGCCAATCTTTACTGGTAAATCTATAGTTTACAGCTATACAGTATTCTATTTTTTGATTAAATTAGAAATACTAATGGTATAAAAGTTGGATGAATGTAATATTTCTTTATCTATATAGTGTAGATCTTTTATTCAATTGAGTCAGAATGGGGACGGATATGCTAGTAAACCGTGGTCTACCGACATTTACAGGTCTGACCAATTCACCATGACTTTTTCAGATTGGCACCGATACTGATCGTCAAAAACGTAGACTGGCTACATCTATGATCGATATGAAACGAAAGTTACAAAAAATTATTGTATTTAGCATTTTGGTTATTGTACCAGACGCAAAATTGGTTTTAACTTTGGTAATGACACTTATCAAAGCTCCAATGGTAGTCCTTTGATAGAAAAGTGAAACTTTCCAGTAGAATAGTAGTCTCAATCGATGATTCTTTATTGAATTTTCTTTCGCTCTCCGATACAAATTATATATTGGCTTTGCCTATGATACCAGGTGTGCACTTACGCATTATATGTTGACACATGACTATTATAAGTCTGCTAAGCTCACGACCGTAAGTAATCGTGGTCAAAATCTATGATCACAGTGAACTCTACTTGTAGTGCACAGAGTGAGACGGAAAATCAACAACAGGAATTTCAAAATAGGAATTGGAAAATATTGTTGAATTTTCAGTGCTATCTAAATTTTTGCAGAATTTTGACAATAATAAACTTCATGTGGTATTTCACTGCTAGAGCTTCGGACAATAAAATTCCACATGATGTTTGCTATTGTCGAATCTTCGAAAGAATTTAGATAGTACTGGTCATTCCACAATATTGTTCAAATTTCGATTTTCAATTTTCCAGTAAAACGTCTCTAGAAAAAAAAACATGTTTGTTTTTGTAATTGCATACACTGATGGCGTCTTTTTTAACGCAATCAAAGGTCGTTTCAATTGAAGAATGTGTGCAAAAAGCTATTTTCGCCCCAGCACTGCATATCAGGGCTCATCTATTGCTGCTAACATCTATAACTTTATACAAACGTCAATTAGCGAGAAAATCTTGGCTGCTATGAAAATTATCTTCGATGGCTCAGAATTAGGAATGTGCGAAGCCAATTTTCTAATAGTCCTAAGTCTAGTCCAAGTACCGGTGACTTTTCTATTTTTGGTCCCGCTCTCGGAGTTTTCAACTTTTCGGACCTTGATTAGGTATGGCACTCTATCTTTATTTTAGGGAGTGGGTGTGGATGTGAGTTAGTGCGATTAGGCCCATCAACACATACTTTCACTCATACAACTGCCATTCGTATATCAATGAACAAAAGTTTGCTTGTTTATGAGACAGAAAAACTTGATTTCACTCACTTGTCGTGCTTGTTACGCTTGTTGTAGTAGTTGTGGTTCCGGTGGTAGTTGAGCTAGTTGTACTAGTACTGCTTGATGAGCTTGTTGTAGGGGTTGTGCTAGTAGTGCTAGTTAAACTGCTTGTACTGCTGGTACTGCTTGTATGAGTAGTGCTAGTTGTGTCAGTTGTCACCGAAGTAGTTGTAGTTGCTTCATGAAAGTATGTATATCATCGTATAATTCACAAAAACAAATATGAAATACGATATAGCTATTGTTGCTAATTACAGGGCGATTGTTTTCTTCTATTTATCGTAGGACACATTTCTTTATCTCTCTCCTTTTACTCAATCATCCAGAAACGTCAAAAGTAATTAAAATATTGTAAAAAGCTGCTCATGATATATTGTTTGCGACCTTCTATCAACATTTTTCATGATCTGTGAGGGCTGCTGAAGCCATCTGCCACGTTCTGTGGTAGGCAGGGAATGAAGGATGCGCAAATTTCTACCCTATACAGTTTAACATTACCTTCAGATCGTGTTTCATAAACTAAGACAAAAAAAAAGATTCTCACTTGTCGCCGTTGACGCTATACAAAATTAACTTCAATTATTTATCAAACTGTAGTGCGCATATATTTACTTTTCGTAGTTGCCGTCGATGTGCTTAGTAGAATACCAAGCACAATACCGATTATTATGGCGATTAGTAAAATGCCAGCCAAAAGACAGAAGCCAATGATGAGTCGTTGTCTTCTGACGCCACTGTTGACTGATTTTTCGTCGAGACGGGCCAAACTTGACCTTTAGAAACAAGAAAATTACCCAGTGACCTAGTGCAAAGTTTAACAGACTCGGATAACGATCCTTTTTCAGTTGTCGCATTCAATGTCTTTGATTCTGTATACGATGAAGTTTGGCCATTATCTATATCCTCAACCCAGACACTTCTGCCAATGTCAGTGGCACCAGACGATTGGAACTGATGCTGATCCCAAACGCTATTGAAGAATATAACACTTGCTGATTGACACTCCGTTCTATCCCATATATTATTGGAGGACTGAGTAGTGTCTGAATTCAACTGAGTTTTATCCAGATCACTCTTGATGGATAGATTACTAGTCGATTGAAATGGTGGCTCATTCCAATCACTCTTGAACGAAGCATCAGCCAATTGGAACTCAAATTGAGACTTGTCTCCTGGATGAATTTTAGATGAAAATGCATGAAAATTTTGAGGACGAATGTGGGTGTGAGTAATAACGGAAAACGGGCGTGTCACATTCTAATTCATATCAGGGTATCAATAATAGCTAAAAATGTCTACAAGTCTACCTTACTATCAGCCATACCACCACTATGAAAGAAATTCAATCATTAAATAAGTGACAGAAAGGACAATACACCGTTATAATGCACAATCGTCAGTATGTTCCAAATCAACAATAATGAAATGAGATGAGGAATACGTGTTGAGAAAAATAGTAATGAAATTCATCTGTAAGACTTCGCAAATAATTTTTTTTTTGTTGAATTATATGAAATACCCTAGATGTATTAATAAACTCAATCAACAATAAGGTTGTGTAATTTCTTATAGAGCAGTGTTTCACCTTCGAGCGATACTTCTTTTTGTTTCTACTTTCTATACTAACCCGAAACTATTGCATTTAACTAGGATACGGGCGTGGATAAGGATGTTAGTTGCTAGGTGTTGATATGTGGGTGTGAAATGAGAATTGTTCCAAACTGTAGCACTACTCACACTCACACACTTTTTCTTTTATCCTAACATTTAGTCTCTTGAATATTCACACTAAACATGAAGAAGTGGGTGTGGATGTGAGTATGGGTGTGAGTGTGAGTATGGATGGGTGTGAGTATGGATGTGGATGTGAGTATAGGTGGGAGTGGGCGTGAGAGCGTGCTGGTATGAGTAGGTTTGGGTGTGGATGTTGGTGAATGTTTCTGTGGATGGAAGGGTGTGGGTGAATCTAGGTGTCCGTGTGGGTGTATATGTGCATGGATGTGAACGTGGGTGTGTAGCTTTTTTGGTATGGGTATGGATGTTGTTGTAGGGAAGAGTTATTATATAGAGCGTGACAGCCACATACACATCTCTTTTTTGATATTTTCTTTTTATTTTCACATTATCTCGAATCAGTTGAACTCCTATATCGATGATATGAATGAGTGAATCTAGTGATGCACCAAATCTACTAACTTAGTACCATATACATATATGTATAACTCCTATATTGGTTTATTGTTATAGGAAAAAATCAATAACTCAAAATAATGAAAAATCATGAAAATAATCATTGTGAGCTGGCCTCCGATTACAAATTTTCGAAATTATAGGAATTCCTATATAGGATTTCTTTTTCGAAATTATACGATTATTTTCACTAAAAAAAGGAAAAAATTGGCCAAAATTTGAGTATTGTACGTCGAACCGCACCTCAAATGTATGTGCGTTACTTGCAAGAAGTAGCTGTTCACATTATCTGTTTTTTTTCGTAAAAATTGATGACCGGGGGTAGCGTCGCAAAGATCCCCGTACTCCTCCTCAGGGCAAAAACAAATCTCGTGAAATTTTTTCCATTTTTTTGACAAAATATAGGATTTTTCAAAAAAATAGGAATTATAGGACGAATCGGAGCCCAGATTGTGAGGCTTAAAGATGGTACTCCATGGTCTCGAAATAAATAATGATGTTGGGTGTGGATGTGGGTGTGAGTGTGGATGTGGGTGTGAGTGTGGATGCGGGTGTGAGTGTGGGTGTGGTGTGGGTGTGAGTGTGGGTGTGGATGTCGGTGTCTGAGAACTGAGAAGTAAAACCCACACCCACACTCTCACCCACACCCACACCCACGCTCCCACTAACACCCACACCCCACTCACGCCCACACCCACACCCAACTCAATGAAATTAACTTTTAAAAAGAAATAATACAATATTGCCAGTAAATATCGAGTATCCTGAGAAAGTACCAAAGGTAAATCAGGTTGCCATCCATTTTTCATATGAGACATACATGACAAAATGGATTCACAAGCCAACGGAATACAACCTTGACTTATTTCAAGCTAACTTTTTAAAAATTATTTTCTTATTAAATTAACTAATCAAACATACGAGACTCATTTCTAATGCCCACATATCAGATCGTGTTCCATAAGAGCAAGTATTTCCAAGACGTTCAGGCTTTTTGATAGAAAATAAAAATGAATGCAAAACAAAAACAAAATCATTTTGACATAAATTACAATATCTTACAGGTAAATATCTCAATGAGCCAAGATATGTTGATGAAATAGAATCTTTCAAAGTTCCACAAATTCCAAAATCGCATAATTTAAATATAGCTGGACGTGTAATTAACATATTTTGTGGTTTTATATCTCGATGTATTATATTTTTCGATTTAAGATAATCAAGCGCTAGAACAATCTAAATTTTATCAAATTAAAGATCTAAATATAAACATCCTTCGAAAAAAGAAAACGAACATGTTTTGCTAATCGTCGTATCAATATATCTAATAAAATTGATTGTGGTTGAACACATGAATGCAGAATTGCGTAAAATTTATCCATACTTGCTTCAAGAGCTTCCATACAAATAACTAATTGTCCATCAATAAAATCCATAAGAGCAGCATAAAAATGTCCAATATGAGAATGAAGATCATTTCCAACAGCTCCCATTGCTTTTAAATCACTTTCAGATGAATAATTATTATTTCCATGATCTTCAAGTGTCATTCACTAAAAGTTTCTTATTCTTCTTATTATTATTGAAATAAAATAAAAATTTAAACTAACTTTACTCGCAAAAACAACATCTGGCCGATGTGCAAGTTGAGTTAAACTAACAAGACCAAAACTTTCTTCACCTAAATTTTTTACATTTATCAATAGTTGAACATTGAATTCAATAGTTTCTCCGTTATATTCAATTTTACATGAATCTTTGATATCAGCAAATCTAAACGAGTAATAGAAAGCAAAACAAAAAAGATTTTTTTATTTGAATTATTTGATCAATGTAATTCAACTCATATTTATTGAGTGGATTTTCTTCGAGGTCACCAGTTAAATCAATACACATTAATCGTACTAAGAAAAATTTTTATAATAAAAATTTAATACTGAAAATGATTAATATCAATGAAAATACATTTTCGTCTTTTAGCACCTCGTGAAGAGCCATTCGATGTTGTAGACATTCAATTTTCGTGCAATACACATGTGTCAATAATACAGCGGTTATAAAGAATGTTTTGAACAAGATATAACAACATACATGTTTTTTTTTCCTTCGACATTATTCAGTATTCAATTTTATTTTTCTCTCTTTCAGTTATTCAGATGATTTTTTTTATATAAAATAATGTTACTCACAAAATAGAGAGTAATCGATTCGGATTTTATTAATTACACTCGATTCATATCCATATTACAGGTCTATGCATATTTTATTCAGTTTTTTTTTAAAATAAGAAGAAAATATTTAATTTAATCTTTTTTTTTGTGTTAAACTAAATCATTCAAAATAAGAAAATAAATAAATAAAATTTATACAACATTATGTAAAATATATTAACTCTAAAAAATTTATGATTTATGTATTTTTAAAGCAACTTCACATAATTATGATTAAGTTAGGGTGTGGGTGTGGGTGTATAGGCGCGTGGGTGTACGTGTTTATTATTCACTAGCACCCATGCCCATCCACATCCACACCCAGCCACACACCCATACCCATACGTTCTTTTTAATTGGCCACTGATTCAGAGTTGTTCTTTTTCTTCCTATCTTCTAAAAAAAGGAACATAGAAAAAGGCCCTGTCTACACTATAAAAATAATATGGTATTAATTTAGAATTAAATCAAGATGCGTTCACATCTGAGAGTTAATCCACCAATCAGAAGTTAGTTTGTGCCACTCTAATGTAGTTATAATGCATATATTTAATATACTTAGGCAAAGACCATGATCGCTATTTGTGTCTACCTCTGTGCTTGTAGAGGAATCACTAGTGAAGTAAATTAAAAAATGAAATCTATATTTATTACGGAACTTCTGAGAAAAAAAATTGTTTCAGTTATATTTTGTTCAAGATAAAATTAATCTTTTATCACCTATTTTTATGTAATACAAAAAAACAATAGTTAAAACATATTTTAAATTTAATTATAATAAAGACTATAGTTATCATATATAAGAACAGATTTATAACATATAACAGTTCAACTTAAAACAAAATACATCCTATGAATTTAGACAGGATTTTGTAAAAAGTACTGAATCAGTGCTTCTCTAACTGCCGGTGCACCTGCTGTTTGCGTATTACATATAGGTTTTTTATATATTGCTTGATCAATATTCCAGTCAATCTCGATTGTATCTTGATATGAAATAGATTCTTAAAATTTCAAATAAGAAATCATAACTTTATTAAGAATTTTTTTAGGAATGATACAAATCAAAAATATTTTTTTCATTAATGTTCACATGAAAATAAACAGTATTAGATAGCATAAATTAACATTTAGAAATGATTCAATATTTTTAACATGAAACATTCACAACATATTCGAAAATATTACTTAACGAACAATTACATGAATAAGACATTACATTAATTTCTTTTCAGAAGAATTCAATTATATTAGACTATTTGAATAATTCATAAGCATTTCCATTTAAACAAAAATTACTATTACGCAAAACAAAATATAACAACATACGTAGTAATTTACGAATATAACCAAAATTAAACTAATATAAAATAAAATATTATATTTTTTTACTATCAGCTACATATTCATACGCAAAATTAAGAAAAAAAAATCATAAAATAATATTTATGGTGTTTTACTGAAATTTCTTGCAATACTTCGAAATACTTCTAAAAATTCTTTTTCATTATTTAAACTTTCTTCGTGTAATTTTGTTTGCTTTTCCAACAAAACCAGCGCCTTTGTTTCTGCTCTACTGGCAACTTCATTGGCACCATCAATTTTGCTTATCATTTGTTGAATGAGATCAATACTAGAAATATAAATACTAGATAGTATCAAGTGTGAATGATAAAATAAATTAATTTACCGCATATCGGAAATTTTTTTCTTTTTTGATGAACATTTTTTCTTGTTAGATACATCTGGTGTACTAATGGTGATATTTCTTGTTGTAGATGTTGAATTAGGTGAATTCTTTGACGTACATGATCGATTTTCAAAATTGTTTCCAGATTCTTCGATTTCTTTAATCAAATTTGATACACTATCATCAGCTTCTTCAGTAATGAAATTTTCATTCCATTCAGAAGCTGAAACATTTTCGATTTCTTCAAGTTGTTCGTGTTGAAGAGCTATTGAATCAGACGTGAGACTTTCATCATTAAACGGTCTTTCACCTAGTCCCCAAGATAAAAGAATGTAAATAATACCAAAAAACAAATTGTTCTTTCTTACCAAGAAGTTTATCAATCTGATCGAAATATCGCCAGGACGATGGACTGCTCCCTGTTTTACCTTGTTCTTTCTTTCTTTTTCTGTACTCGGCAACAAGATTAGCTATTTTCGACTTCACATCAGCACCTGTCATTAGTCTTGGTGACAATAACTGATTAAGTTGTTGTGCCATGGACTGATAAATCGGAGCATTTCGCGATCCACTAGCCATCAAATTTGCATAATGATCACTCCATATATTGATAAAAATGCTCGTTTCTTCTTCGGACCAGTTTTTACCTCGTTTGAGTTTCTTTTGACCTATGGAACAATAAAGAGGATGTTCGAAAATCATTGATTTTTCTCCACTCTGGAAATACGATAAAACGAAAGTACCTTATTAGTATATAGCTACTCTGATATTGGTTTGGAAAGATCTTGTCCTTTTTGTGGATACAAACTTTAAAAACTTCAATAATTTTGCGTCTTATCTTAAGAGAATGCCAGGCAACTGAGATTAGCTGAGGTACGATATTTAAACAAAATTTTCAACAAATAATAATTGCATTTAAGGCAGATTTGTTATCTGCTAATTATATTTTAACTCCAATAGATGGTTTTTGTTTAAAAACACATTTCTGCAGATACAATATAGCATATATTACATAGATATCTAGAAAATCAATAATTATTTTTAGTCTATGTAAACATCCTAATTAATGTATTATTAAAAAGCAGGTGTTTTTTTGTACAGCGTAAAAAAATTATTCAACTTTTCTCTTTTTCTCTGTTACAATCTTCGACGAATTTACTATTATAGGATTCATTTTCCTCAGCATCATTTATATCATTACGTTTCGTTTTGGAGAAAAGTTATGTCCTTTTTTTTCGTGACTGAAGGTGTATAAACAACGGAACGCGAAAGTGAATCATACAAACTATGTATGAGTGCTTTTTTTTCATCTCTAGTATATACAAAAGAAATTATGTTATTTTACTTGACATTTAGAGGTAAACAAACAGATAAATCTCAGTGCATAAAAAAAGCATTTATATTTCAGTAGTAAATTAATTTATATGAGCTTAATTTAAAATGTAATTAGCAGATAACAAATCTGCTTTAAATGCAATCACAATTTGTTGAAAAATATCGTTTGAATATCGTACCTTAGCTAATCTTAGTTGTCTGATATTCTCTTAAGATAAGACACAAAATTATTGAAGTTTTCAAAGTTGTTATCCACAAAAAGGACAAGATCTTTCCAAACCAATATCAGAGTAGCTATATACTAATAACGTACTTTCGTTTTATCGTATTTTTAGAGTGGAGAAAAATCGATGATTTTCGACCACCCTTTTTGCTTTTTCGCAACTAGGAAAGAAACTACTCACTATTCATGTCATTTTCATTTTTGTCTAAGAATTTCTTGGTAAATGATTTTTCTGATCGAAGAGATGTTGAATGATGACGTTTCATCGAAATCGATGATGACATTAGTTGAATTGAGTTTCTATCTATAAGAAACTATTTTTAGAAAACAGTTAACAATATACTATAACTAAAAACGAGTGATCTATGGAACATTCACATTTTTACTGATAAACTTAGATATAATTTGTTCAAAAAAAGAGAAAATAAATCGTATTAGATTATCTGTCAATACAGATACATGGGATGACAGCAAAAAAAATATGAATGAGAATTTTACCCATATTCAATACTGAATCACATTGTGAAATATTATTTGCCGATGAAGCAGTTCCAGTTATAGCTAATAATGGAGATTTTTCTGGACTTGAAGATGTTGATGTCGTTGAAAAGCATGTTTTTTGTAAAGTTTGTTGATTAGTAGTCAATGAAGATAACGGTTCACGTGTTACAGCACTTGATTCCGGTGTAGTAGCTATAACAGATGGAATAGTAAACGAACCGTTTGAATTAATCAAACGAATCTGTCCAGGTGTGCATGGTAGTGGATGGTTCATTAATGATTGTTGTGATGAACCGACAACCTGAACATTTTTATTAGCAGGAAGAATAATTCGAACAAAGTGAAAATTCATCTAAAAATACTATTCAAAATATTAAAGATGTAATACTTAATTTGCTGTGGATAAACAAAATATAATGCGACAAACTATTCACGATGAGAATACGGTTCAATATTATTTCATTTTTCAGCATACACGACACTAACTTAATTATTAAATTCTTAATTTGGGCTGTAATAAAAATTTCCTTCAAGTGATTGTGTAACAATATGGTGTTCGAAACATATTTTCTATTCAATATCGAGTTTTCGAACGAAAATAACAAATCAATGACAGATTTTTGACAGATTTTTGACATAACTTAATGTCAGCGGCCATTGTTCCACAGCATCAGCCTCGATTCAAAAGTCATTGTCGTATTAGGATTTTTCTATTTTCAAACACTTTTTTCTTCTTCTCCTAGTATTTTTTCAAATTTTATCTTATTTATATTTTTTTTAATTTTACGAATTTTTTAAAATTTTATCAATCGTATTTTTAGGGAGGTGCATCGCATTACTTTTCATTAGCTCTACCATATCGATTTGATTGGAGGATTAAAGTTAATTCGTCTCTGAAAAGTGTATTAAATCTGAATTAAATTTTCGACCAATCATGTGTCTTAATTCAGTATTATTTTTTATAGTGTAGACAGGGCCATAGTCATATATATGGGTCCATAGGAAAGGAAAAGAATTTCATTGGTTTCATTCCTCCGTTCAATAGGATGGAAGAAAAAAAAGATGACGCGTCGTCCACGTTGTATCATACAGATGTACTCAATTTTTTTTAAGAAATGATAAATTTCTTCAGATATCTTCATAAAGTTTTCGATATTGTTAACTGTCGTTATTTAATTATTTTCAACCTGTAGGCGAATCCAGGTGCGATATACCTGGAAAATCCAGATTCTGACCAGGATTTGCCCTTTAGGAGGGGATTCAAAGATGGAATCGGGTCGAAAAGGCGTCCATTAGATAGAGCTCGACGAGATCTATCTTGGTATACCATTTGTGTGCTTTGGTATAACCTGTAGGCGAATCCGGGTGCGATATACCTGGAAGATCCAGATTCTGATCAGGATTTGCCCTTTAGGAGGGGATCCAAAGATGGAATCGGGTCGAAAAGGCGTCCATTAGATAGAGCTCGACGAGATCTATCGTGGTATACCGTTATTAGATTTTGGTCTAACCTACAGGCGAATCCAGGTGCGGTTTACAAAAATGCTTGTTTTTTTCGTGATTTTTCGTTAGTTTTTTTAACTTTTTTCCATGAAGGGAAGGGGTTGGGAAAAAAGTAAATAGTGGAATCGATAGAACTCGTCAAGATCTATCTTGGTATACCCTTGCCAGGGTTTGGTATAACCTACAGACGAATCCAGTTACGGAATACTCGAATCCAGCTCCAAGATATTCTACGTAAATTTGACTAAAACTAATATATAAATCGATATAGAGATCGATGTTCTCTTCAATTATACATCAACGGAA